CGAGCGATAGACCAGCATCAAAGAGCTCGGTAGTGGTCTATACAATAATATAACGGGATAAGAGAGCTAGATGGCTCCATCAAAGCTGCTAAAGATAGCTGATTAGCTGCTGGACTCTGTAAATGTATAAACACGTGGTCAATCGCCATAGCAACTATCTAAACCGTTTCCATGGAAATTCTTATTAACATTCGCGAAAATTAATTGTCCCACGGTATCACAATTGCAATTAAAAACATATTATAAATATTATTAAAAAATCAACACAAACAAGAACATAAAAATTTAAAAAACAAGATTGAGTAGGATTTCAAACAACCAACGAAAATACAAAATGACAATCCTACTCTCGTGACGCAAATTCTACTCTACATTGTAAGGTGATTCATAATTTTTACATAAGAATTAAAAGTATAATGTAGAGTAGAATTTGCGTCACAAGAGTAGGATTTTCATTTCGTATTATCGTTGGTCGTTCAGAATCCTACTTGATCTTGTTTTTTTAATTTTTATGTTCTTTAGGCCATGGTTTTTCAAAAAATCACTCCGCAAAATTGTCCCAAATTTTTATTACATTTTCTGATAAATACCTGATGTATTTATGCTCTGTAGCAAGTTTTGAACTGTTTCCGACAAATATTTTTTGAGTTATGAGTATTTTTAAAACGAGCCAGTTTTTGAAAAAAAGCAAACCCGTGGTTTTTTTTCAAAAAATGGCTCCAAAATCACTCCAAATTTTTATTACATTTTCTGATACATATTGATGTCCTTATGCTGTGTAGAAAGTTTGAGTAGATTCTGATAAAAAATTTTCAAGTTATGACCATTTTAAAAACAGGCCAATTTTTGAAAAATACCCAAGGCTTGACAAGGAAATAATAGCCCATGGTTATTTCCTAGTTTAAGTTTAGTTATAGCCCTTGGTTTTTTTTCCAAAAATTGGCTCCAAAATTACCCCATTTTAAAATTATATTTTCTGATGCATCTTGATGTCCTTATGCTATGTAGCAAGTTTGAGTTGATTCCGATGAGAAGTTTTCAAATTATGACCATTTTAAAAACAGGCCAATTTTTGAGTAATACCAAAAATTACCCAAAAGACCATGGGCTATAGCCCATGGCTTTTTCTAAAACATGGCTCTAAAATTACCCCAAACTTTTTATTACATTTTCTGATACATATTGAGCAAATAGAGCAATAGAAAGCTGTCAAATTAAAATGCTATTGCAGTAACTTCGGTAGCTGTACTGATGGCAGTTTTTGAAAATACTGATTATGAAATATTTGATTTTGCTGACATGTAGTTGTAACTATTGTGTGTGGGTGGCAATTATAGGTTATTACATTTTTTAGTGGTAGCATGGAACTGCATGGCTTTTTAGAGGTGACTTTATTTGATAAAATGATGAAGAGGATCCTATAAGATCTGGAGAGATTGTTGTATCAAAGTAAAGGACAGAGATACATGTACTAACAGTGCATGAGGAGTAAGTGGGGGAGAAAGTTGGGGAGAACAATAGAAGAGAGGGGGAGGGGAGGGTATGTCTCAATATAATGTATGTTTTCTAAAGTGATTGACTGAGGGAAAGCTTTTGGCTATTCTGTTTACTATTTGCAATAATATTGTTTTACATTTCCTTTGTGCTTTGTGTAAATTAACATGCTAATAGTGATGTTCAAATGTTAAATACATGAAAGTGAAAGATGACTGCTCTATGTGTCTTCAGGGTTCTATCTAGAAATTTTGGTTTGGGGGGAAGTACATATCAACTTCCATGTAGAAGTAATACTGACTATATTACAGTAATACTATGCAATTGCTTACTCAATGAATTTGTAATTTACAGAGCAATTATGTAAACTTATGTACACAATTGTGTACCTTTATGTACACTTTATGTAAATTTTCATTAAAATTTTGGGGGGGAAGATATTGAGTTTGGGGTAGAACCTTCCCTCCCACTCCCCAGTAGATAAAACCCTAGGCTTATTACTCAGTCTATTTGTCTTGTTACCATAATACATTCACATATACATGTACATGTAGTTAAGTGTTTACTTGTAAAATTTTTGTTAAAAATTGCATGCAAATTTTTGTCTTGTGAGTTTGGCCTATACAATCTAAATAGCAAAAGCCAAACTGTACATCATTATTCTTGTAAAGCACTGGAAATTAGTTTCATTTAATCTTTCTTTGTGCTCTCTCCCTCAGGCTCTTCCTTGTAGTCATAATGGTGAGGTGTATCTCCTAACTAAAGGCGATAACAATCAGGTGGATGATAGAGGACTATGCTCCTGGACAGCTTTGGGTGGAAAGGGATGAAGTAGTAGGATGTGCTAGAGTGTCAACAGCTAGCAATAATTTATTTACAAATTGTGTTTTAGTTTCCTGCCATATATTGGAATGGTCACAATAATCGTGAACAATTACCCAAACTGAACTAAAAGTGAGAGAATTTAAAGGGACACATGCACGGAAGCACGTCATCTTGAAAAACTGGCCCGTTTTTCAAGATGACATCATTAATGATGACGTTTAGTGTTGATAACTATTCATAACGTGCGGCCGCGCCCCTAATAATTAAGGCAAAATGGCTACTCGAGTGGCTACTTGTAAATATTCCTGGTGTTTCTTCACTAAAAAGAGTATCTTGGGGTGGCAAAAGAGCTAATTCTGTTCGAGAGAAGTGTTCTACAGATGCCTACTCCCGGTTCTGCGACTGATTGCTGTCTCTACTCTCTACGCGTGTCTAAACACGTGTCATAACTATTAATTAATGATCTGTTGCACGCCCAATTTAATGTTTACTTCCTCTACAGTAACGTGTGCATTCTATTTCCGTGAACGTGTCCCTTTAATCATATCCTGTTACCTTATCTCTTTCTTCATATACAGTACCTTATCTTAGGTGGTTTAACAGGTATAATGTAAGCTTCACCCACAAGCCCCACCCCTCAGTATTAATAGTTATGTACCAATGGTATCATCATCCGTCATTTATCTATTTACTTTGTCGAAAGATCCAATTTGTCAGGGACTGCCATACAGCCTAAGACCATCTTGATCTCTAATTGCCTGCAGTGGGTCTTATACTGAACAAAAAATGGAGTTAACTGACTTGAAAATTACCACAACAGAGAAAATAGGCATATTTTTAACTTTTTATTAGATTATGAGTAGTTTATAATAACTGAATAGATTCTAACCGTCCCTAATAAAATTAATTACACCTGATCTACGTACGATAGTATATATATACACACCCAAGAGTTACCATGCATGATCCGTGAATGATGGGTATCAGGCCTGGACCAGGTTTGATTCTATAACGGTCCAGCATCGACGGCCATCACTGCTGAATCGAGGCTGTTGCTCTGGCCTGGACCAGTATCTATTTCAGTCCCGATGTAGTCATAGCTGATACAGTAATGTCTGTTCGTCAGCACTGGTCCAGGCTGTATATCAGTACTGGATCAGATCGATGCTTTTCAAGATGGCAGCCCCGCGTGGACTATCTGACATGTTTTGTTAAAGAAAATAATCTTAATCTGACTCTTTAAGAGAAATCTCGTTGGCTGTATACACTAGGGCTAAATCACTGGATGTTATGTGAGTACCGTGGACTACATTAAATGTTATACTATTTTTAGGCTATTTTGAACCATTTATTACTTAAACATGAGTATAGGATACACGATATTTTGAGTAAAAAGTAGGCACATGTAGATACACAATCAAGCTAAATAAATTAATTGAGCAGATACATGACTGGAAAATAAAACGACTGACAACTTCCAATTAAAGTTTACCACATCTTGCCTACAAAATCTCTATGATATGAAAGTAGAGACCTGGGTTTATGAGGAATTATCAAAGGGGTATAAACTGCATGAACAAACTTATAATAAATTTAGGCTAATTATTATTGTGAGATTAATGACTTCAATTTAATTGACTATAATTAGAAGTACATACCTTTCATTATGGATTCTCCGTTAACTTTCTAGTATTGAGCCAAACATTGAAACAGAGCCAGAAGACCTTTCTGCAATAATCATGACACTAGTGAAGACGATGAGAAATCAGGCGTAAAAATGGTTCACTACATGTGATTGTAACTATGTTTTTAATTAGGGTGAATGTATTAGTGATCATGATGATGAAGATATTGTACTGAGAGACTTATGAATGATAGTCACAAGTGTGGTAAAATAGTTTATTGATTATGTGTGTAATTGTTACTTTTCCTTAGAATTTTTGATACGGAAGATTATTCTGGAAATATTAGTATAGTAGGTGCTCCTTTAATTCATATTAATTTATTAATTTAGCAAGGTCACTGGTATACATTCTATAGTTACCTTATCTCACTAAGTTTCAAGACAAGAATAGTTAGGTTTGTTTAATTTCATGTGAAAAGCTAAATTCATTATTCAGGTTGTGATCAGGCTTGGGGTGAAGTACTTTAAAAAGTATTTAAGTACATTACAAGTACCTGTTAGATTTTTAAAATGAGTACGAGTACAAATCCCTCATTTTTACAATTGTATTCAGTATGAGTACGAGTACTCTATTGCAGTACTTAAGTACTGCTTAAGCACTTGACCACACCCAAATAATTAATAAGTTAGTTTTAAAATTAATAAATTAAATCAGATGGTTATTACATCTTATGAACTTTTCAAATCCAAACTGACCAATGTCATAGTATGGGACCCACAGGAGGTAAATGTATGTGGTTTACACTAGCTAGTATTTATTATGTCAACACATTAGCATTGCATTGATTAATGTGCTTCAAAGTACTTCAATGTACTTGTAAGTACTCTTAAACATACTAGTATTTAAATACAGTACGAGTATTTGTAATTTTTTGTCAAAAGTACTTGAGTAAATACCGAGTACTTTCAAACTTGTGCTTAAGCATGCTTAAGTACGAGTACCAAAGTACTCGCCCCAAGCCTGGTTGTGATGAACTGAAACTTTCTTGTTTAAAGCTCTTGTTAAGGTCAGTTTAATCATAGTGTTTTAATTTATTATCATCATTTGTCATTATAGTTCACTTCAAATAGCATTGAATTTTTTTGTGAACCTGCCTTCATCATGCTGGTTAAGGAAGGTATGTAGTTCCTTTGCTTATGTAGAATTTATGCCTCATTATAGTTATGTTATGGATCTAAGCTTTGTAGGACTATGTGTTACAAGATACCTTTGAAAGATCTGCTTCACTACATGGAACCCCAGAGTTCATTAATGTTGGAGATTTTGGGAAATTAATTTCTCAGTAATGTAAGTTTATTATTTTAGTGCCTTCTTAATTTATGGCTCTTTAGGTGTCTTAAGTTACAAAACATGAAGTGTCTTACTTGTGGAACATTGGTAGACTATGATGAAGAAAACAATTATAATCTTTTTTTGGTTTTAATAATAATTCCAAATCATTTTAAATTAATAATGAATAATAATTAAGTATTAATTAAGCATAACAGGAAGTACGTCATAATGAGGCTTAATGAATATCGTTATCGTTGTCGGATCAGGTCTGGCACCAGCATAAATCGTGGCTGATTCGTCAATATCGGATCAGGACATTGCCCCAAATCCTCGGTCCAGGCTCGATCATCAGTAATGATTCAGGCCTGTATCAGGACTGGTCCATGTTCCAACTCTTGGGCGTGTACGGAGAAATCTGTGTGTGGGAGTTTTCTCATAGCCGGATCACGTAGCAAAATGACAGATAAAGGCACTGGAAAACGAAAAGGTCCGTCTCTATTCAGTTACTGTTACCTCTTGTTATTTATAGACTATAAAGCAGTGGAAAGGTGGGGGCACTCCGCTGTACGGGTAGGAGACTACCTGTATATGTGGGGTGGGGACCAGCCTGGTCTCCCAAAAGTACATAATAATGATAAGAAGAAATCAATGTGTTCTGTAATGGAGATGTGCCACGTGGTGTCTGGTAGGTGGGAGCAGAAACCCACCACTGGTAATCCTCCGTTGGGTGTTAGTGACTATGCAGTTGCTGCCATTGGAAATGAAATATTTTATTTTGGAGGAGGGTGTGGTCATGATATCTGTTATCATAATAGTTTATACAGGTAAACATGATAGTTACTGATAAATATTATAAAATATTTAATACAGTTTTAATGTTGATACCTTCAGCTGGAAGGAACTCTCTCCTACTACATCTCGTCATGGTCCTAGGATGAAGTACCTCTGTGACATGATAGCAATAAAAGTGAATGGTGAAGACTATCTTGCAGTAATTGGAGGAGTGGGACCATATTCTATTAATGCACCAGAACAACCTGGTGCCCAGTACAGTAGTGGTTGGAATAATGAAATTAATTTTTATAAACACTCTTCAGGTCAGTACAACAACACATAATAGCTAGAAGAATGTAAAACATTTAAGGGGTGAGCCTAAGCAACCCAGTGTATTCAACGAGCAAGCAAAGCAATTGCATTCACGTCCAATACAAAGATAAAAATTTTGTCCATCAGTCATCACTTAAGAATCTCTGCAGCAATTGCTTATAGCATTAAAGATAAGTTATAACCATTCACTGAACAAATCATCATTATGAATAACCTCTGCTTTCTTTTGCTGCTGCCCTGTGCTGAGATATTAACTATATGCATACAGGTTTCTCATTTGCATTTTGCAGCATATTGTAGTCCTATCATAAAAAGATTATATATCTGCTTTCTCAACCTTCCTTGCTGCTAGAGAAGTCTTTGGACAGCAGTTTAGTCTTAGTTTGCTGAGCATTTGCTGCAAACAAACTCAGATTTGCTAATAGCTGTCATTTTATTTCATTGTGTCGCCACCCATTTTTAATGAAGATTAGGCTATTTAACTTAAATTATAGTTAGATAACTCTATGCCTGCATAAATACATACATACAGCCCTTTGCACAAAACTTGCACCAGTCTGATCACGTGACTTGATAAAAATATTAAGTCAAGCCTATGGCTAATCATCACGTGACTGTAACTGGTGGTGGCAAGTTTTGTGCAAAGGTCTGTACCAGGGGCGGATCTAGGGGGGGGTGTGGGGTTGCAACTCCCCCAAAACATTCTAACTCAAAAAATTTTTAATGTTTTTATTGTTGTAAAAGTGGTAGAAGTGCTAACCACCTAGTTTATATAGCAACACTACTGTGGTTAATGAATATAATTAACAAAAATTAAGCTCCAAAAATGGTGAAAAAGTTGATTT